AGGAACTTGTTAATACCAATCGGGTGATGGCTCCATTTTATGTAGGGTTTTTCGAGGCTATTTTGCTTGGTTTAACCCTGGGTTTCACCGATATTTGCTACTTCGCTAACCAATATTCATCGACAATAGACATATCCCATTTGCTTGCTTGACTTTCAGGTATAAAGACTTTGCAAAAGATTTGGAGCCATATATTTGGATGATTGAGAATGAAATAGACCAATTTTCCTTTGACGAGGATTGGATCTGACGCCAATAGAAGATTTGACGACACGCGGTACATACCAACACAACAAAGCAACACTGGAGGCATAACCATTGGCTGGAGCAGAAGAAGAGATATCCAGAAGAGAATAGGTTCACTTAGATCTTTCAGGTTCCTCTGCAACATGATCTCCGTCTGCTGGGATTGGGGTCCAAATCCTGTAGTGGGCCGATTTCCCTTACGCCGTTGACCGTTAGCGATTGTGTGTAAACAGCTGCTATGAAGCTCTCTCCTCCCCCCCCTCCCCCGGCGCATGTCCCGCTAGCACTCAAGTGTTGTTGCAACCGAGAGCATTGTTGAGAAAATCGTTAATTAGTAGCTGCTCTATTGGCTGGTGAGAAAGGGATTTATAGACTAATCAACAAGTTAATCAGTTAATCGGCCGGTTTATTAGTTTATCGACTACTCGGTGACCCTACCGGTAAGGATTAATCGGCCAAATTCTTGAACAAGTCCGAGAGAGATGACAATCGTAGAGGTGATCATGGATGGAAGAAGCTTCCATGGAGCTTATATAATCGTGTGCCTCTCATCGGTCCAGCCCGCCGACGTCAAGTCTTTAATTGATTGCCATGCGAAAGAAAGAACAACGTGACACTAATCAGTTTATTAATTGATAGCTTTTCGTGTCATCAACATTAGTGCCTCCTTCTATCCTCCTCCCCAAGAAAGATTAGGGTTTCCTTGCCTCCCGCCGGCGTTGCCGTTGGTCCGCCTCGTCTCCCATGGCCTTAGGGCCATGGGGGCGCAGTGGATCCGGGCCCTTGCCGACGGGAGGGCTTCGTTTTTAGATGTTTTTTTAAGTTTTGTTATGGTTTGTGTCCTGCTCAGGAAGGCGAGACGGCGGTGGCTCCCTGCAGATGGAATAATGTCCTCCCCGTCTAGCCCCGTTCCGGTGGTGCGTCTAGCATCGTCGGTGGGGGTGTGGAGGTGTGTCTCCGGCGGATCTATCTTTGATGGATCTGCTCGGATTTGGTTGTCGTTCGTCTACGTTCGTTTGTTTTCAGGTAGGATCCTTCCGATCTACGCTACACTTCATCAGCGACGGTTGATGTTCTGGTGCGCTGGTCCTATGGGGCCTTAGCACGACGACTTCCCGACTGTCTACTACAACAAGTTTTGCCCGGCTCCGGCGAAGGAGGGGCGATGACGGCGGCGCGCCTTCGGCTCGCTTCAGTGCTTGTAGTCGTCGCTAGATGGTCTATAAATCTGGATGTATTTTTTATTATTTCTGGTGTTTGTTGTACCGTCATGATTGAAAATGAATAGATCAGAAGTTTTCTCGCAAAAAAGAAATTTCCAGGGTGTAGGAAACTTGCTAATTAACAACGTGAAGTAAAGCAGGGATACAAAGTTCATGTTCACGGGCACACTTTGTTCATGTTTTTTTTTTGCGAGACGAGTACTTTTTTTCTTGACATGGATTTATATGCATGCACATCAAAAAGCAGGAGCATATGATTTTTATTAAAAGAAAAGATGGATCTGTTTTCGAAGAACGATTCAGACAAACCACAGTTGTTAATCATATTTCTTCATTTTGTTTTCCTGTTATGAACATAATATTGGACTTGAATAAAAAAGCAGTGGTAAGCAACAATAGATGAGTTGAATATATGTTTGGTAACAATCGAATATCACACAAAGTTGTGAATCATAACAAATAGAAACATTGAAGTGGTGACATAAAATAAAATGGAGAACATATGCACAAGGTGGCGGGTGGTATCCCCAGCCCACTAGGGTTCAATCCGAGAGTTGACATTGATGCTCACATTATTTCTGTATTTATTTCGGTCTTCTGGCGATGTTCGTTGAGTGGGAGGAGACGTTCCCGTCGACTGCAAGGCACTGACTTCGTAAAATCTCAAGATGCTATACCGGCTCAGTCTCTCGGAGGTGCTCATAGGGGTAGGGGTATGTGCGTGCGTTCATAGGGGTGAGTGTATGTGAACGACTGATTGTACTGTGTTAAAAATGATCCAGGTGTACTTGAGCCATCTGAAAAGAAGGAACTGATGAGGAGACAAAGACTCCCTGCTGATTTCCTTTTAAGGTGTTGTGCAGAGAAGAGGGGATTCGGCCGGGAGTGGGAAAGAAACTAGTTATGCCTTGTTTGGTTCGTAGTATATAGGAATAAAAAATACAAAAGTAAAATAACATGTATCTTAATTCCTATGAAAAGGATGTCATTTGATATGTAGGATATGATCTTTTTTTCACTGAGTGTATGCTAATGGTTTTTTCATTTGAAATGTGAAAGAATGATTCCTATCCTACACAGAAATAAGAATCCATTCCTACAAACTAAAGGCCTTAAAAAATCATATAAAATGCTATCTTTTAAAATTCCTACAAATTTTTCTGTAAACCATAAGAGGCCTACTAGTAGTACAATGAATGGAAGCAGGCGAAGGAATACCAACGGAGGGGCCGCCAGAAGATCACTGCTTACAACACTGGCTACTGGCATATGCAACACTTGCGAGTCCGATATGTATGCCTTGTGCTTTCTCTTGCGGTTACGTGGATATGCCATGTTTCTGCAAGCGCACACGTTGGTGGACGTGTGTAATTCTTTTACAGTAGCACGAGCTCTCTTTTTTCCTCCTCAAAAAAGAAATAATCTTCTTCCTCCTCCTGTCGCGGCCGCCGCCACCAATGGCCTTTGGGCCGTGGAGGTGCGGAGGATCTCGGCCCCCCGCCGACGGAAGATACCCTGATGTTGTTTTTGTTAGGTTTTAATGTCTTTGTTGGGGCTGTGTGGCGGTGGCGATGTTCCTCGGTAGGAATAATGTCTTGCACGCCCCATCCAGTCCCAATGGTGCGTCTAGCATCACCGGAGGGCATGGGAAGGTGTTTCACCGTCGGATCTCATGGGATTCGGTCGGTGCTGGTCTTTGATGGATCTTTTTGGATCCAATTTTCGTTCGTCTTTGTTTGTGTGATTTTTCTTTTTATGAAAAGGATCAGATCTATTATAAAAATTCACCAAAAGTACAAAACACCTCAAACATAATAAAATTTACAGCGAGGTTCATGGAGCGCCGCTAGAATGATCATCGTGTGGTCTTCGTTTGTGTTGTTACATGTTTGATTTTTTTCAATCTACGACTCTTCGTCGGCGATGGTTGCTGATCTGGTGCGCTGGTCCTTAATTTGAGGCCTTAAAATAAGATTTCCCAACTGTTTACTACAACAAGGGTTGCCCGGCTTAGGTCAGGGAGGAGCGAGGGCGACAGCTTGCCTTCGCTCGCTCCAGTGTTTGTACTGCCATGGTTGGTTATGAATAGATCGAATAGTTCTCGGAAAAAAGAACTTTTACAGTACCATTTCTTTTAGGTAATTTTTTGTACTGGTCACATGGCAAGTAGAGGAGATGACGCTTCGTTTGCGTGGAATCGGGTGCTTTTTATTGCCAAGCAAGAAGGTGAGGAGAGGGAACGGAGGCTGTGTTCGTGCCGGAGGCCGTGGGGAGCGATTATTTTTGCAACCTTGCTATGCGTACGACAAGTTCCTGTACAACACTGTACGATTAGAGACAACCATAAATAATTCAGTTTGTGGGCCATAGCATGTAAAGATGATTTCCTCTCTGATCGTACTGCTCGGACGAGAAAAGCATTGTATGCAGAGCAGTTTCGTTATTTTTGGCAGGGTGTGATCGATCGTGCTGATGATCCCTGCCCAGCTAATATTTTTTTCGCGCCGGGGGTGCCTTGATCGGGAACATCAGTGAATGAAGAAGTACTATCATTTTTTCAAAATCTTGGGTGGGTTCAGAAGCGGTGATGAAAGTTATGGCGAAAGAAAAATCATGAGATGAACACCTCTCTTAATTATTCGGCCCTCTGTAAGAGCCAGGTCCAGCCGGTTGAACTGGCTGCTTGCACAAGTAAATACATTCAGTGACGATTTCAGCTCATCTGACTGTCATTTGAGTAAAACAGTCATTCCGTGTGCAAAATTATTACAAGTAACAAGTATATATCCGTATCTAGACAAATTTAAGACAAGAATTTTGGGATGGAAGGAGTACGTAACAAAAACAAGCTAGCCGTGAGTAATGCCAGATGCAGATGTAGTAGTTTGCAGTGGAATCTCTAAAGGGGACTTATATTTAGGAACGGAGGGAGTATATAATTATAAAACACGCTAAGGTACAGATAAGTGGATGTTCAAAACAAAATCGTCGGATGATCACAACCCAAGTCAAATCCGGAGATCAACTATCTGCTATTTGTGCCACTGTTCTAGACACAACAGGTGCTCCAGAGAAAGGCAGAAAATGGCCGTTAATTGCCCGACACATTTCAAAGAAAAGCATATCCAACACGGGAAAATGTTCAAATAGCTTGATACCATAAGATACATGATTGGCCTGCGAATTAATATAACAGAGTAATGAAAAGGTCACATGAACAATAAAAACTGGAGAAAGGGTACATGCCTATTCTAGCACAAATATGAAACCTGATCAAGCAGAGATTTATGAAGAAGAAACACATCAATGACTATCATGAAAAAAAAATCACTGAAAATTGACCATTAATTCAGAGTCCAAGACATTACATCAGAAATCCCAACTCTACAGCACTTCACTTTCTTAAAGGAGTGCCTTTCTACTAAATAGGCCACAAGAGCAAGTTTCTCAGCTATGAAATACGGAGTATATTTCTAATTTGGACATGTAAGAGCACAAAAAGGGGTATCAAGAATACGGCTCAGCAGAGGCTCAATGTTCCATGGCAGGTTTAGCTACAAAGCTATTCAGAGAAGTTTCATTTGAGGCAAGGCTGCTCTGGGAATTCAGTATGCACAAGGCTTGTGTTTTCTGCATAGAAACAGCACCGTCTGCAGATTTGCTATCCTGCTGGGGAAGACCATTAGAAGGCCTCGTGTCCGCTGTCGCCGGAATACTGCTGCAATGCGTTTCAGGCGCCTGGACTGCCTTTGGTTGAGCAAGTAGCTGGCTGTGATGCAGAGGCTGAGTGCTGACAGACTGTTGAACAGGCGGTCGTTCGACATTGTAGTCAGACACACCAAGATCAGAGGCCAGATTAGCAAGTGCAATCTGCCATGACTTCTGAATAGCTGATGCGTCTTGCACGCCTTGTGTTGCCTGAGCTACTTGCGTGGAGCACTGACGAAGCTGCTGTCCAGCAGTACCAGACGATCCATTGGAAGCAGCCTGGAGATGTGGCATTGGCCGAACCTGCACCGGCGCAGCAAGATAACGCTGAGTGGAGAAACCCTGAATAAGGTTACCTCCTGGCAGTCCCCTGCTTCCGGGTGCCGCTTGTACTGTCTGAACTGCACGCGGGGTTGCTGGATGCATTGGGGCATTGTTACGAAGAGCAGGGTAAATGTACCCATTTGAGGGTGTATAGACTGTAGGAGCAGCCCCAGGCCTGTTGGATGTTTTACCTGAGAATTTTGGCCCAGGAGCTGATGCTTTTGGCAGATGGGTGGTTCGCCACGCATTCTGTGCAGCCATAACAGATGGATGCATTTGTTGATTTTGGCTGGCATTACTTGCAACAGGAAGTCTTGCGGTGGAAGGTTTGTTTACATTTGTCCCCAAAGCAGATGGATGCAATTGTTGATTTCTGCTGACATTACTTGCAACAGGAACTCTTCCGGTGGAAGGTTGGTTTACGGTTGCCCTCAAAGCAGATGGATGCAATTGTTGATTTGGGCTGACATTACTTGCAACAGGAACTCTTCCGGCGACAGGTTGGTTTACACCTGTCCCCAAAGCAGATGGACGCCTTTGTTGATTTTGGCTGAGAGGATAGTTTACAGTTGTCCACAAAGGTGCATATGGATATGGTTGTGCAGCTGATACCTGATGCCCTGTAAATTGCTGAGAGGATGGTGTTGTTGAGCTTGGGAGAGACATTTTCTTGACACCTTCACGCTTAGATGGCAGCACGCTCTTGCGTTTGAGTGATTGCCTCTGTTTCTTCCACTTTTCATCCTTATCCGTAGCATGACAATGATCAGTAGGCAAGGTACCTTTGCCCCACATGGGGCATGGAGCAGGAGAATCACAAACATAACAGTGGCACTGCATCAAGAAGAAAAGCAAAATAAGGTAATGCATCCGTGATGGAACAATTGGCATTCAATACTGTTCCATAACTTGATCAGATGAGAAGGCAAAGATTTGCATTCATTAACTAACCATGGTGCAATGATTTGCATGAGATCCAGTTCCAAAAGGCAATCTAGCACATAGATGACGTGGATGGGGGAAATCCCTGCATGCTACCTGAAAATAGAAGAGAATAATAAGACCACACGCCTTCTTTTAAAATTGGAAGCTTTGAGATGGCTCCTGGATGCACAGGGCCCAATCATTAACATGGATAAAAAAGAACATATATTGCCATGACAATCAGTGGGGTACTTCCAGTTCCTTAAATAATCACTAGTATCATCATCAGCAACTATAAGATATGACAGTACGCATACACTACCAATATCCAGGATCACAAAAGTCATTACCAAGTAACAATATTATCCAGTTAGAGCCCACCAAATTGTATTTTGCAATAGCAATCCATGGGGAACTCATCCCAGGGAAAGCCATCCATGATATCAAAAACAGGGAACAATATCACTGAAATCTAAGTAGTTTGGCTACCTTCCTCTAATAGCATAAGCTTTAATAAGGTGATTGATTGGTGCATTACACTAAATATTAATACTATATAGGACCCACAATTAATAGTGGGGTCATGCATCAATGACTGTTATTACCAAATCAGAAGAGCAAAAGGTAATTGAACACGAGCAACCAAATAAATGTTTGGAATCAAGTAAACTTCGGCTTAGCAACTAGATTCCTATAAACAATTTACATACAACCGAAACAGGAATCTGCACTGATTAGCCTACAAAAAAGAGCTCCAAATTTCAATAGCTGGTCAATGCAACGCAGCGACGAAACGTATGACTCTAACAGCAACAGATTGTCAATGCAACGAACATACAAACCGGCAAAAATATTATCTAACAAGACGTCAACAATGTATGCGTCGAAACACAATAGCTAGTCAAATGTATGTCTTAGCAACTAAGATTCCTGAAACAAATTTATATGCAGGTGCAACAGAGATATTCACTGATCAGCCTACATAAGAAGAGTTCCAGAATATCAGTAGGACCCATTCTGGTCAATAAGAAAATTCCCAAAAGAAGTTGGTCAATGTGACGGATATTAGAACTGAACGTTCAAAGGTAACATAGAGGAATTTCAGGCAAGAAAGAAATCAGTACCTCCCCTTTCTCTGAAAGAACCTGCAAGTCTTCTTCTGCCCCATCTTTCCCAGGCTTCTCCTCCTTGACAACGATTAGGGGCTTGTCAGGGTCACTGTCCAGGATCACGCAGTCGTCGTCGTCGTCATCAGCAGCAGCCTTCTTTTCACCCTCGAGAGCGGACAAGAGCTCCTGTATCACGGCGGAGTCGTCTAAACCCTCCCCCAACCCAGTGAGGTCGTCGAGCAGGAGGCTGGAGGCCCAATCGAGCGCGTCGGCGGTCGGCTTGGCAGAAAAAGAATCCTCCTTCTCGTCGTCCGAGATGATCTCGATGACAGCCCCCGCCGCCGGCCCCATTGATCCGCCCCAAAAACCCTCGACGAAATTCGCAGCAGACTCGGAAAAGAAGACCGCGGCGGCCAATGAACCCTGCGAGCAGAACAGAGCAGAGCAGAGCAGCAGCCGATCAGCAGCGGCGAGACGGGAAGATGCCGGCCCTCTTGAACCAAGAAACAAAGAGGGTTTCTTGGGCGAAAAAAAAAAGACTCAATCTTGCTTCCGGGCAGAGGGAGGGAGGGAGGTAGGAAGATTTCGCCCCTGAAAAGGCATGGCAGGGGTTTTGCTTTTACTTACAGCAGAGCAGAGCAGAGCAGGGGAAGGCGAGACGGCGCCCAATGCGGCGGCGGCGGCGGCGGCGGCGGCCGGGGTGGCTCCGCCGCAATGGACCCGGGGAGAAGAGAAACCAGCGAGCTGGAGGGGAGGGACACGGAGGAAAGATTTAGCAGGATTTTCTGCAGCTCCGCGGGCCTGGATTGATGAAAGAAACCACGGAGCTGGAGGGGAGGGGAGCGGGGGGGTTTACCGTGGCGGCGAGGGGGGAGGCGGGTGGTGGGGACGGGAGAAGCGGAGGCGAAGGCGAAGCAACTGCCCTCTCGCTTTCGGGGAGATTGTGGTTGTTGCGCCGCGGCTGCCTACGCGTACTCCGCCAGGGCGAGGGGAGACCGCACGGACGGACGGACGGACGGACGGAGCGACTTGGGTTGGGGTCGGAGCGGTCGTGCTGCGTGGGATCCCCACTTTTATTGGCTCCGTGTGCGTGCGTGCGCTGCTCCGTCTCCGGCGCCCGCCCGCCCGCCCGCCCGCGTACGTGGGGACTCGGAGTCGGAAGAGCGTGGCACTTGCGTTGCTGTTTCCTCTCCTTCGCCGGCTTGGCAAATGGCAAAGTGGGATGCACACTTTCTTCGTCTCTTCCAAGGTTCTTATGTGTTTTTTTTTGGGGGCGATTTTGCTTATGTTTTCTTCTTTGGGATTGTGGATCTTTTGTGTTATTATAACTACGTACTAGTAGTACATTATTACATTGTGTGTACAGAAGTAACAGAGCCGCGTAGCCTTTCCATTCTCTCCGGTTCTCGGGGCCAGCGTGTTTCCTTCCTTCTCTTCGAACGCGCCGGTGTTCCGCGATTCGGTTTCCCACCTCCGGCCGGGTTTCTTTCTTCTTTCTGGCACCGCGTTGTGGCCCTTCGAGAAAGCGCGTCGAGTGCTTTTTCCGCCTTTCACGAGGAAATAACAGCGGCACTGCGGTAATGGTATCAAGGGTGCAACAACATGCCGCCCTCCCCCGACTCTCGCAGCACCGGCGCCCTCCCCACCATGTTATCTTCCTCGATGTCCACGGGATTCAGCATATCACAGGCCCTGGACCCAGCCCCCCCACCCCGGTTGCGAATCTAGAGTCCCCACGACTTCCTCACACGTCCTTGGTTGGGTGGTTTCACGGATACAACATTAGTTGTTGCACCAGCAGCAAATCCTCTTAGTTCCATCGGAATCAACTTTGCTGGTGAGTACTCACTCACTCTGTGCATTTTTAAACCGAACCAAAAAACCATACCGAAAATAAACCGAACCGAACCGAATGTATTGTTTTTATGGTTTCTGGTTTCGATATGGTATGAACTTTTGATACCGTTTTGAATTTTGGTTTTTATGGTATATACCGAAAAACCGAATGGTTAACCAAATAAACCGCAATGAAAATATATTTGTATTTCTTGAGGCAAACAACGATACAAGTAGTCATTTTTCTTGTATAGGAGTAAAATTTCCTGCAAAGAACATCTCTTTCTTCCTGTAATGTAGTATTTTTTCTCTTGCAAAAATGCTAATCACGTCCATAACCTTTCGAGGCATGAATTGAGGCACGCATATATACTTATATAAAGTTATATACCGTTTGTATCAAAAGAGTATGTGTTTTGAATTATAGATCTGTAAAATATAATATGTCATTTTCAAATTCGCGTCAACTTTGGTTATTATGATATATACCGAAACCATACCAAAATAATTTGGTATATATCGAAACAGAACCGTATTTTAATTTCATACCGTATAAACCGAAGTATTAATACCATACAAAGCGGAAAACCGTATAAACCAAACTATGCAGAACAAATAAACCGAACGCACAGAGTGAGTACTCACTACAAGTTTGATGGCAATCCAGCATTTGCATCTACTCAGAGGATGCATAAGAGTTGATTGCAATGTTCCTCGACATTTTTTCCCACCTCCACTCGGTTTCCGTTCTTCTTTTCTGCCACCACGTTTTGACCCTTCGAGAAGGCGTGTCAAGCGTTTTCTCCGACCCCCCTGCAAGGAAACGATAGTGACTGCGCTGCTATTTCCTTTCTTTGTTGGCTTGACAAATGTCAGTGGTATGTCCACTTTTTTTCTCTTCCTATGTTCTTATGCATTTTGCTAGGTAAACATGTTTAATTTGCTTTTGGTATCGTTGATTTTGTGCAGTAACTACATTATTACATTACATGTAGAGAACCGCATAGCCTTTCAATTCAATTCGACTTTAGGGGTCTGCTAGCGATTTCTATGCTGCTGACACGTGTTTCTTTGCTTATCTTCGGTACATATTGGTGTTCTGCAGTTTGTTTTCCCATCTCCGGCCGATTCCTTTTCTTTCTCTCACCGCGTCATGACCGTTTGGAAAGGCACATCAACATTTTCTCCGCCTTCCACAAGGAAATAATAGCGACAACACATCAACAGTAATAGCATCGAGGCCGCCGCAACACGCCACCCTCTCCTTCGCGTACTCTCCCCTGACCTCTCATAGCACCAGCGTGTTTCCCTCCCACCATGTTATCTTCCTCGCTATCCATGGGAGTCTGCAAACAATTGGCGAAGGCGAAGCAACTGCCCTCTCGCTTCCAGGAGATTGTGGTGGTTGCGCCACGGCTGCCTACGCGTACTCCGCCAGGGCGAGGGGAGACCGCACGGACGGACGGAGCGACTTGGGTTGGGCCTCGCTTGGGGTCGGAGCGGTCGTGCTGCGTGGGATCCCCACTTTTATTGGACGCAGCGGGCTCCGTGTGCGCCGTCCGTTTTCGGCGCGCGCCCGCCCGCGTACGTGGGGACTCGAGAGCCTGACACTTGTGTTGCTGCTTCCTTGGTAAATGGCAAGTGGGATGCACACTTTCTTTGTCTCTTCCAAGGTTCTTATGTGTGTTTTTTGGGGGGTAATTATGTTTATGTTTTCTCCTTTGGATTGAGATGGTTTGTGTTATTATGACTACGTACCTGCATTATTACATTGCATGTACCGAACCGCGTAGCCTTTCCATTCTCTCCGGTTCTCGGGGCCCGCGGGTGGTTTCTGCGTCGCTGGCACGCGTGTTTCTTTCCTTCTCTTCGAATGCGCCGGTGTTCTGCGATTCGGTTTCCCACTCCGGTCGGGTTTCTTTCTTCTTTCTGGCACTGCGTTGTGGCCCTTCGAGAAAGCGTGTCGAATGCTTTTCCCGCCTTTCATGAGGAAACAACAGCGGTAGTGCATCATCGGTAATGGTATCGAGGGTGCAACAACACGCCGCACTACCCCGACTCTCGCAGCACCGGCGCCCGGCGCCCTCCCCACCATGTTATCTTCCTCGATATCCATGGAATTCAGCATATCACAGGCCCTAGACCCAGCCCCCCCCCCCTCGTCGTGAATCCAGAGTCCCCACAACTTCCTCACGCGTCCTTGGTTAGGTGGTTTCATGGATACAACATTAGTTGTTGCACCGGCGGCAAATCCTTTTAGTTCCATCGGAATCAACTTCGCTGGTGAGTACTCACTACAAGTTTGACTGCAATCCAGCATTTGCATCTACTTAGTGGATGCATAATAGTTGACAATACTATGCCCTCTTGAGTATGCTTTAAGAAAAGTGCCACATACCTATGGAACATGAATACTTGTGTCTACACTTTTTTTAAAGTATATAAAATAATTTAGTCTATATTTCCTTTAGTTTATTTACTTCCGACTGATAAAATTTGCTATCTTTTTTCTTTCGTCCCCACCGACACTGATGTTGGACTGCCGTCCGTCACCGATTTGAAAATTAATATGGATAAAAAACGAACATATATTGGCATGACGACCAGTGGGGTACTACCTGTACCTTAAATAATCACTAGTTTCGTCATAACCTACCATACCAATATCAAGGGTCACTAAGTCATCACGAAGTTACAATATTATCCAGTCAGAATCCACCAAATAGTTTTTTGCAATAGCAATACATGGGGAACTCATCCCATGGAAGGCCATCCATGATATTCAAAATAGGGAACAATATCACTGAAATGCAAGTAGTATGGCTACCTTCCCTTAATAGCTTACTCTCTAAGGCGAACGATTGGTGCACTTAACCAAAATATTATATAGGACATGCAACTAATAGTGGGGTCATACATCAATGACAGTTATTACCAAATCAAAAGAGCAAAAGGTAATTGGACAAGAGCAACCAAATGAATATTTGGAATCAAGTAAACTTTAGCTTAGGAACTAGGTTCCTATAAACAATGTATATACAACCGAAACATGAATATGCACCCATTGGCCTATGTAAAAGAGCTCCAAATGTCAATAGGCCCATTCTTATCAATAGTTGGTCAATGCAACAAAGATAAGAGCTGACACACAAAAACCATTTGATGACGTATGACTCTAACAACAGTAGATGGTCAATGCAACGAATGTACGAACCGACAAAAGCATTATCTAACAAGGCAACAACACTGTATGACTCTAACAACAACAAATGGTCAATGCATTAAACATACAAATGGACAAAAAAACATCTAATAAGACGTCAACAACGTATAACTCTAACAGCAACAGGTGGTCAATGCAACGAGCATACGAACCGACAAAAATATTATCCGACAAGATGACAACAACATATGCGTTGAAACACTTCTTTTCTGCCACCACATTTTGACCCTTCGAGAAGGCGTGTCAAGCGTTTTCTCCGACCCCCCTGCAAGGAAACGATAGTGACTCGTTG